CTGTAATCCAAGTTAGAGCGCTCTAGCCCGGCTGTCTCAGGACTCCAGGGAGATTGGACTCGACCAGTATTCAAACACATTCACATTAGAAGGAAAATCCTCAAACAGCCGCCAAAACTAAGCGTAAAAACGTCGTTCGTGGATGATGGATGCGAGGAAAAGTGTCGAATACAAAAAGTGCTGCGACCCGTACAGTAGATGTGAAAGACGGGTCGTGTAGAAAAAAATAATGTCAAAGATGTATTCAACCACCTTTACGATGCTTGATGATGTCGAATCTGATGGCGCTAACCTTGTACCTTAGGATAGATTGTTAGAGCTCCCTAAGAAAACCTGAACAGCAAATTTCATGTGCCTCTCTTGTACCCTGCTGGAATGAACCATTAGTAACAATACCACGTCGGAAAGACGAATTCATGCTATTGGTGTCAGATCTAATCAGTTATTCTATGACAAACAATGGGACGGGCGAGACAAGTGTAAGCTTGTTTCACTTGCTTTAGTCATTGATAACATAGTGATAACGTATGGTTATTGATTGGGCGTGCGTGAGACACTCTGGTCAGAGGTGCTCTGCGTTACACAATTGATAGCTCTCTAATTCGATCCCTTGTCCCTCACTCCACAAGCTCTCCATCACTCCCGAGTTGCCAGATTGTTACGAAACTTTTCTAGGAGGATAGAGAGACTGATTTAATGCATTGGTAAACCACTGGAAAATATTGTACAGGTCAGATACGCTTTCAATCACTTCGACGATGCTACAAATTAAGCCGAATGCATGGCATATCCATTAGGGATACCGGATGCATCGAATCCGGATGCTTCCACGTTTCATAGTTATTGATGACATATGCAAGATGAAAAATGAGAGAAATTCGAGGATAGGTTGCATTACAGTTGGTGACAGGTATCAAATCAACAGCGTACACTTCTAGGCAGACCAGTGATTTTGAGGATCTGCACCTTTTTGCAACTCCTGAAGAAAGAGTGCTATCGGTCATCAGTTTTGCACAATCTCATCGGTTTGATCATGCTCTAACTTCAACAAGCATTCAAGAGCCCACAATCTGGAAACGCTTTGTGATGGCATTTCCGAAACAGATGCCGTCTCCATAGTGTGGTTTTTTAATTTTATTTATTTATCTCTTTCATACGAGGCGCGTGTAGTGCAGTGATTGGAGTCGCACCGCAATACACATGGGATCCATCCCCACGCCCCAGGCCCACCGAGCCTCCCTCCCTCCGGGGTCGGAAAATTGGTAGCAGACTTGTTTGGGAGGATAGCATCACTGACTCTATACATCGGTGGGCCACTGCGAGTCATTGTAAAGGCCATTGTAAAGATACCATTGTCAAAGATCATTGTAAAGATATGCATTCAGTCACCTCCAAACGATGCTTACCGAAGTCGAATGCATGACGTATCGCTCAGGGATTGATCAATGCCAAGAGCTTCATCGTTTGTCCTTTATCTTTTATGCGACTAGACATCACATCCTGTGTGGATCCCAGTACTTTTTTCATGCGATTCGTTGTGTTGCATCCGTCATCCACGTCGATCTTTAGATTTATGTGTTGATTTAGCTCAAGTTTAATTTAGAAATGCTTAAGGATTTGCATGCTTCATGGATGAGAAGTCAGAGATCCATGGAGTGTTGCGAAACAATTTTCTTTTCATTCTGGTTAACAATAGCTACTTCATTCAACTTTTTAACCCGCGAGTTCATATCGTTTTTCTTTGAGACATCGTAATAACAATTCGGAAGGTAATAACGATAACGCTAGTTAACTGTCACTCAACGCTCGCAGATCTAGGACACCATGAAAACATCTCATGAGTTTTTCTTTATTCGATTAGTCACATGACCCATAAATTCTGTATAAATTTCTTTCAGTGACTCGAGCGGTCCGGTTGATTTTTGTGAAATTTAACTGCTCCGCTGAAATCAGAGACTTTTCTGGATTCGATGGATGCTATGCGATAAAAAGTGTTACAATAACCATTCAATGTTCTTTAAGCGCTTTCATCAAGAAACCAACATATTGCCACTTATAATGAACTTTATTGATTGATTCAGATTTATTGATTGAAAGGGAGAGCACAACAATATTGCGATGTTTGCCTAAAAAATATAAACTAGAGGACTTGTGTAACACGATGAAATCCTGATATTTTCTGGAGGCTACGAAATGTTTTTCTTCCCTTACTTTTTTCCGCAATTGCTCGGTATTTGAACACAAAAGCCACTGAACGTGCGGCAATTCGTCCATCGGTATTTGCACTTGACGCGATTGCGCGGGAAGTTTTTGAAAACGAGATTTTGTCTTTGGCTTTTTTTTTTCGAGAATCTCAGTTCTAAACAAATCCAGAGCAGAAAGAATATTTTATAAGAACTGCGTGCACATTTAAGATGATGGAGCAACGTTTCTTCTATAGATCTGCATGTTCTCAAGTCTTCAACAGCACTAATAAGGAAGACATTATCATTAGCTTAATTAATGAATTGTCTCCCAGCGGTTTATCGCCTCATCGTGGCTGGGAGGTGTTATGCCGAGCTGCGATGTTAACTGGAAGGTTTATCCCCAGCACGGACTCCCACCCTGTCGTTTCCATCCGAAGGCCCAGGTAATAGTAAACTAGTACCAGGAATCACCACCTTACTTAAGGCCACCAATATCTTGCGTTTCCTAAGGTGCTGTTTATTTGGCTATGACGATTAGTAATAGTGCATCACGATCTTCACAATGTTTGTTACAGGGCCTATCATGTTTGTCTGTTAGACGAGCATCAGCCGCCTGTTTAAAACTACTCAATTCCTCGATTCATAAATCATTCATTAAATAAGGACGTACAGTGATAAAAACACCACGGCACCGCAACCAAAAAAATATTTAATGTTCTGTCTTAGATAAAATTCGCGCAGGTAGCAGTAGTAGAGTTGTCGTTCAATTATACACGCCAACCCTTGGTTCGATCCCGTATCGGGCCAATCAATGTTCCCATTCACACATAGTCGAGGTGTGGCTATGAGATTTGCCTAGGAGAGCTCCCGCAAGTTAACACCAAGCTGATGAGTGGTTGTGGTGAACACCTGAGAGCGCTCCGGTATGCCATAGCTACCAGTGTGTTCTAGAGGAAATCGACTCGACTAGCATTCAAGGTCATTCATGAGGAAGAAAAGACTCAGCCAAAACCAGGAGAAATTCGACATTGTCGCTATTCGTAGGTACGATGAGGAACACGGCACGCTACCCGTAGTTACATTCCCTCTAAAAACAGTAGAAGGAAAGGACATCGGACGAAAATAGCGCTGACATTAATGTCACCTGATTTCGGGGGCACAGAAATCAGTTCGGTCGTGCAGTGTGGACGGATTGAAGCATTACTGACATATGTAGAAGGAAAAGAATCAGTCAGGGTGGGATTACTGGTGATACTTATGAAGCGGGGTGTGACAATTTTCTTTTACATAAGGGCAAGGACGTTTGCATAAGCAGTCGAGCGAAACAGTAGGACTATTGTAAATCGACCTTCATTTAACCTAGATAATCAACGTACTTTACCATGCATTACTAGACCATATTATCTGTACCAATGTTAAATGAAAGTCACTTTACAATAGTATTACATCGATTTGTGCCAGCCTATCTCATACCGCCTGCAAGAGGATGCATTATCGAGTGGAAAACAAAGAATTGTCAGAGGACAATCAGTCGATCAACTATTGTCCTGTATAAAAGGGTGCCCCGACTTAGGTTACTTTATTCGAGCTTAGATTTGACTTAGGAAGATTCGACTCGATACGACGATGAGAAGCCCGCCACATGGACAAGTCGAACGACTACGGATCATCGGAGTCGGATGAATCCGCCTCTGAAAGAGACGAAGACGTCTAAACGTTAGACGAATAAAGTTTTGTAAGAAAACAGTTCGAATGACTTCAGCTGCGGCTATTTTATGTCCTCAACAGAAATTCTATGACTGCTCTAGCACTGTTTGGTGGAAATATCGTGGTTGCCACGACAACGTTAGACTTTTGAAGTACTGTTATTCTCTTCCAAATGAAATCATATCAAATTCTTCTGATGACAGTGATAAAATCAATACTGTACTTGTTCACATCATCAGCCTTCTGGAACATTCTTCTTTACTGAATACTACGCACAGTTTTCTAATGAGACGAAAAATCGCCAGGAGCGTTACTTTTCGTTCTTAGATCGAATCAAGCGATCTGAACGTATCGCATCAGTTGGGTTTCGAACTCGGGAGTACGTTTTCGTAGAACCTGGTTCACTTTCGAACCCGGGACTACGCTTTCCTGGAGCACGTGAAGGTAGCTGTTTCGAAATTGGGATTACGCTTTAATGGAACATGTGAGCGTACTGGGTTTCAAAATCGGGGATACACTATCCTGAAGCGATTGGGCCTAGCTGGGTTTCGAACTCGGGACTGTGCTATCGTGGAACACGTGAGTCACACTTGTGGCCCAGAATTTTGCTCATATCTCAGCATCTTTGTGATTATATCTCCCATATATCGTCCAATTCACTCAACCCTTACTGATTCATGGCTCTTTTTATAGAATTGTTAATTGTTACACTGTACTGGCACGCTTGTGTTCACCGATCAATACTTACTTGCTCTATGAAAATGTCTCAATGTCATCGCGGCCGTTCTTTAAAAGTATGCATTCAACCACAGTTCCTCTCAAAAATCATATATCCTCTCCGGTCTCATGTCTGCAAGTTCATTCGCAACTGGAGTTTCGCGAATATCGGCGCAGTTCAGGGAATGCATATCGATTTTCTGCTGTTTGCTACCCTCCGTAGCCGCCAATGCAATAGTGCTAGACGTAATTTACGACGTAACGTTAACATATAGCTAATCGTTAAACAGCCGAATACATATGTACCTCCTTTGCATCCCTTAGAACTAAAAAATCTAGCAGCACTGCCAGCAATGTACGGTCACCTGTTCTCATCAAATTAACCGGAAATTATCGATTTCCTGTGCACGCCGGCGACAGCTGATTTTTTGCGAATTTCTCTTGCCTGGACACCACATTCTTGCTTACTTTGGAACATTGCCAAATGTTCTTCACATTATCACACTTGTAATGGACTTTTTCATCGTTGTCGTCGCTTTGTTTTTGAAAAGACGACGTCACAACGACGCTCTCCACCGCCTGCGCGTCGGCTGCGAACCGCGTGTGCGGAGACGCGGAATCGACGGCGGCACTTGGCCGGCTGCCAAGCGGCACGCCCATTGACGAACGGCCAACGGCGTCGTGCCAGCTGCGGTGGGCGGCCGTCGCGCGCGGCGCGGCGCGGCTTGCCGGCGCATTTCGAGTCGTACCCGTCTGTCGGGTGGCGGCGGCGTCGGCTAGTTGTGTATTGCTAGGGGTTCGTTCGGGTCTGTTTGTTGGTTTGTTGTGGTAGTACTCATTTTTCAGTGTTGTTGCAATTCTTTCACATTGAAAAGTGCTATTAGTCCAAGTCATTTCCATGAACTTTCGTGGAATTTGCTTGGCTGATGATTATCTACGAAGTTGTCGTGGTCATGTCGTAATCCGTGGCAGTCCAGCTTTCTGTATATATTCTTTTGACTTTGGTGTTTTCTATACGAATCGATGTGTAGAACAACGTTAATGCAACGCACGTTCATAATTTGTTCCATTTATCTGTTCCACTCTTTTTAATAGCTTCCTGTCGTCGCATTCATTTCGTGGTTTTGCCAGGATGAATGATAAAAGTACTTTGTAAGATCTTTGACGCTGCTTGGAAGGTAGCTGGTTCATTTGGAGCGTCTTGTTGTTTCCAGGTGCATCAGTATTCGTTATCTTTGTTGTTATTGACTATTGGCATGTAACGTGTTCTGTTTGTTTTGGTCACTGTTTCTCTCGCTTCCGTGTTTGTTCTACAGTCTGATTATTTCGTCGCGAGATTTTGAGGTTTCCTTTGTCGTTGCTAGCTTGGGAAGGGTGAGCTGAATAGGAAAATGACCTCTGTAAGTGAAATTGAGGCTCGTTTTTTATGGCGTTCATGTCAGAGTTGTTAGACAGAACGTGTTGAGAAGAGGTGATTGACTTGATGAGCAATAACCACATAGATTGGTAACGATCTATTGTAGTTTGTTGTATAGCGTCTTGCTTTACTATTGTGAATATCTAGTGTTATTGTCAACCGGAACGCCACGTCGATTTGTTGGCTGTACTATATTCTTCTGCTCGCACTTCCCTAACCATCAATCATCTTCAGGTAGTAATCATGTCTGGATCAGATGTTGATGGTAAGGAAATCTCCGCTGAGAAGAACGAACCTGTAACAGCCGAGACAGCCGCTGGCGATGCTGCCGAAGAGAGTCGCGACTCGGCCGCATCGCTTGACAACGACGAAAAGTATGTGTTATTTTTCGACCGTGTCTTCTGCACTTACAAAAGTCCTCCGGCGTTTTTTTTTTCAAAGTCTCTCGCTAAATTTGTCTGGATATTGATTTTATTCATTTGCCTTCTCATTCTCATGTGGGGTTTCGTGTGGTAGGTGTGTCCAAGTTCAGTAAAAGATCTGTCTCACCTATCAGTCAAGCACGTGTGATTTTTTGTTGTTGTCTATTGTTATAGAACTTTGATCACATCGTGTAATCAAGGGTGCCCACAGTGTTGACATTTGTATATATGTTCGGAAACGTGTTGCTTACTGGTTTTTTCGATGTTACAGGTCATATTCTGGATCTGAAGAGAAGAATGGAGAAAGCGAAGATGGAGGTGAAGATGAGGAAGGCGGTGATGACGATGACGAGGGTGCGGACGGTGATGAGGAGAATGGCAAAGAAGAAGAGAATGGACATGTGAACTCCGCGGACACAAATGGCAATGTCAGCTGAGATGGTTTAAATGTGTAAATATTTTATCGCTTGCATAAGATTAACGTTTTCTCGTAGGATCGTAAGCGGATGTCCGATGCGGGCGGAGATGAAGAAGCAAGAGGTGGTGGTGCACCGGCGTTGAAGAAAAAGAAAGGCGACGATGAAGAGGTGTTGTACATGTAGCATTATATTTTGCCGTGACATTTTGTGGCCCTTGTGTTATTAGTGCCGCTTTTACTCCGATTCAATAGTCACCGAGATTGCTAGATGGTGTTCTTTATGTGAATGTCGCTGAGGCAACAGTGCTGGTCGATATCACGCAGCTTGGTCAGGCCGGCGGACAACACTGGCCGATCGATCTGAGAGAGTTCGCTGGCACGTTGCCAAATCGCGTCCACGACTTGTCAATCAGGCACACACACGCACACATGAACACCTGTTCCAAAGGTCTAATGGACCCACGTCGATGGTGTCACTATTTTCGGTTGTTATCTAAGGGATAGACTATACGTTTGTCACTTTGTGTTAATTTTTAGGCAGTGTTGTCCATTTGCAGTACGGATTTAAGTATGTCGGATGCGGCTAAAGTCGTTGTTTCAGGTTGGTGCCGGTGACGTGCAGGCGGAATCTGTGACAGCTGAATAACTCGGATCTGTTACCGACATGATACTTTGGGTTACTTCGTAACATATGTGTCGACTTTTTAGTTATTGCAATACGACCTCCTAGACCAAAAACTGTAAACACCTGCCGGTCGCCATTTATCCTCTTTTTTCTTCTTTACCGTTTTCTATGAGACATAAGTAAGTGCATGACGACTTATTCGTCGTATCTCTTGAACCTCAATCAAAGTGTTTGTTAACCCGTGTGCGTGTCACTAGTATTTATAGTGTCCATACGGCTTTCTTGTTGATAAATCCTGTATTACCTTGTTGTTGCTATTTATGGACATAAAACTTTCCAAGACAGAAGTGAGATGCGGAGTATTTTGTGAGTTGTGTGAATGTTTATTACTTTAGAGTGGTGGTGAACATGTATTTCCCAACCAGAGATTAAATAAGAAGTGTAGATGCACGAATAAAAAGAAATGAAAAGAGGACTGGACCGCAGTATGTCGCCTTGTACAATGGTTGACAGGTGATGTCTGTGCGATTGTGGTAGAACACTGTTACAACAAGGGCTTAAGAGTCTTACAGTAACATAAGCTACAGAAAACGGAGTTGAGAAGGAGCTATGGCAGCGTTTGAGGAGGGTTCCACTATTTAGTGTGTGAATATAAACTCGGAGGTTATGGCATAAGATTAGTAAGAATATGTTTGTTCATTTACTGGAGACCAGTTTGCTGTCGCCAGATTGGTCGACAACGACTGTGAATTTTGTCGGACGCTGTTGTCCTCGGTTCATCTCGGATTTCTGGTCGGGTGTAGATACTGTAAAATGAGAAGTACAGAGGTTATTCCAGGATTAAATCGTTGACTACCAACATAAGCGGTATACCTGAGTATAGTAAGTAGCGAAAAATTCGTCTGGAACAAACAAATATGTGGTTACAGACAGTTGAACTAATTCTTTTTAACAACATGTGATTGTGATGTTAACATGACATTTGTAACCTGGCTATTGATCGGAAGGGAACAGTACTACGGTAAAGCGCATTACTTTTTAGTGAACCATGGCGTATTGGTGGTAATTGTTTGATATGGTTTTTCTTCCAAGTTCCCATTTTATTTGACCCGACGAGACATAATGTGCGGATTCCAGCGCTTCCTTCATTCGAATTGTTTCCTCACATTCATCATCCATCCACGAAAGTCCTCTGATTTTTCGTGTGACTTCGCGTGGATTTCGTTCCTATGTATGGCGTTGGATGATCGTCGAGTCGATTCCTTGAGACAGTCCTAGAATAACCGTGCCGTGGTGTTCCGAGCTCTTCGGGGGCACAGGCAATCATCAACGTTTGTTGATCTGAGGAAGATCTTTCCAGACAAGTCTGGCGTCAAGTTCTCTACTCCGGAGCGATGGAAGGCCTGGTTGTTCGAGCCAGGCTCTTGCTTGTGTTATTGAATAGTATCTCTACCAGTGCGCCGCCCTGGTGATTATTTAAAGTTCCGTTAAAATTCGATTTGCTCCACAATCTCTTAAATCGAATTCACAGGACTTTGAGTGTGTGATACAGTAGGTAGAGGCTCTGTGAAATGAACACATGGCCGTTGGTTTGATCTTACGTCCGGAGAAAACCAAACCCTCCATCTCTTAAGTGTCTAAATATTGGTGCCAGACTTATTTGTGATGATAGACATACCAACTCGATAGATCGTTTAAGCCTTACAATTGATTGTACAGGCCAATTCTGCAACCGATCACGTCTGTGACGCTTGGTACAGTCGGATGCATGTTAGTTCTCCAAGAGATTGATAAACGCTGAACGCTTCTACGTTTAACGCTGAATATTCTGTACATTGCTGAGAATGTTCTCTATCTATCCATAAAAGGATAAAGCTGTCGGCGTTGATCAATCCTTGAGGGATGCGTAAGATTCGACTTCATTAAGCATCGTTAGAGGTGATTGAATGCATATCTGGCCTATACAATGGCAGGCTGTAGCCTACTAATGTATCGAATCGGCGCTGCTATGTTTCCAAACAAGTCTTCCACCAATTTGCCGATCGTGGAGGGATGGAAGGCTTGGTGACCCTACGGTGCGGGATAGATCCCACGTGTATTGCAGGGCGCCTCCAACCAATGCTGCACGCGCCCCTGTCTGTTTATGCTACCATAACTTTCTTATATTGTTCGTGTATTCTTGTCTACTCTACGGTAATTTCTGATCTACTGCGAAGTTATTTCGTCCTGCGCTAGTTGGATTGCACAAGACAAGTGGTTGGTATTGATTTCAAAAACATGTCCTTAGCAGCTCCTTACATTCTACAATCTACATCCGCCATAGACAACATTTGATCACTTAGAGTACCATAATATGCATAATATTTCAGTCTTCTGCCATCCTTGCCTACGAATCGACTGCTCTCGCCGATATAATTTGAATGGTAGTGGTTCTGTATGGAAACTCCAGCGCCTCTTCATCTTCGATATTGCACTTTGTTTGTGCTTTTTGTTTTTCGCCGACTTATAATTCTGAAAATTCATTTAGAAACAAAGAAAATATTGAAAGCCGTGTAGCATTCACGTGGAATAACACACAATCACCAAGATGACACCGCATCACACCACCAAGCCGAAATAGTAAAATCAGTCTTCATCTACCGACGTGGTGTTTTTATAAGAACTTTATCCTGAAATCAGCTGTAGCAAGTCGACACCATAGTTCGATCTCACGAGCCTCCTATACAACAAAGTGGAGTTCCAAGAGTAATACCTACGTATTCTAGAACTGCCACATAGACCAACACCGCAATACAGACGAGCCAGTCGCTAATAAGCATTGACACACAAGGTCCCTTTCCTCAGCGTCCCAAGCACATCTAACGTTTCTATCCAGATTCAAGGCTATTTTCTCACCAGACAAATTAACACCTTAGTGTAGTCACTAGGGAAAGTGCTCTAACACACTCAAATATCGTTTTGCAAACGCAACAACAACAATTTAATTGATCGCTCTCTTTACGTCATTACAATCGTCATTAAATCCGCGACACATTCACCGAATTCACAACAAAGATCGATCCTGGTTCGTTCATGGATAATTATTCATTTTATTTATATATTATCGAGTGTTACTGGGAAATCAAGAAGAAAGCGATAGAGAAAAAGAGAAACGTATGAGAGTCTTCTTCACCCAAGAGTTCCCTCGGTCTAAATCTACGGTCTAGATCTAACCTATTGAAGTCCAGAAAAATCAGCATCCATTGCCAGATTAGACTGTCGCTATATCTCTTCATGTCTAAAGTTCAAGTAACTGTTTCCGCGTTATCGTAGGAACATTCTCCCGAAGAAATGGTGCAGGCCTTAAACTGGTTCGTTGAAAGCCTAGAAACCAAAAATGACAGTGCATTTTTGTTTCTAGAATGCTATGTCAAGGAAATACGATTTATTGCAAGCTGTAGGAAACAGGGTTTTGCTAAAGCTCAGCTGATTCGGTCTATTACACAGTCTCCGATCGACTAGCCGCAAGTATCGTTGTTCTCAGTGGAAACTGCTGTCCTGGGAGAAAGATGGCAAGACACCAAGATTCTCATCGATTAGAAGGTTATGATTAGCGGTGAACACATGGGAACGCCATGACATAGAAATATTGGGATTCCTGAGAGCATAGCCCTTAAGCGTGAATATTCGACATATTAGCGAAAGATGATGAACTTCAAGCAGCAGCCAGGGCCACATACGAGTCCAATCGTCACCGTTGACTGAGGTTGAAAGAGAATGTTTGGAAGAAGGACTAGGAGAAACTAATAAAAAATCTTATAGAAGATTTTCGTTCGTTCTATTTCATTTGTTCTCTTGAAAGAAGCGTGTTATTTTGCTTTCATTTCTTTCATACCTTGTTCCTATTGTGTTTTGTGATCTTCATTGCTACTGCCTATAGGTCCAAAGCGTTGTATTTGCTTCCTAGTAAAGAATTAATTTTAAGCAAACAGAAATAAATGAGCCGAAAGTGCGTAGCCTTTTACGCGTTACGATTTGTTGTCGTCCACTGATTCTTCATAACTGTACACGCTTATACAGCTTTGTTAAATTCAAAAGGAGCATTGGTATTTCTCAAGCAATTACAGCTGCAACTTGTGAAGTAAAGAATCGGAGGACAACGTAAAATTGCAGAAGATGGAACGTTCGGGGTTGATCAATCCCTCAGGAATCTGTTATGCGTTCAACTCCACTCGGAGCAACGTAGAGGAAACTGGGTGCTTATCTCGCTTATATAATGACTTGCAGTGGCTCACCGATGTACCAACTCAGTGCTGCTATCCTCCCAAACAAGTCTGGCACAAATGTGCCAATCCCGGCGGGATGGAGGGCTAAGCTGGTCGGGGACGTTGGATTGATCCAACGATGACGTGTATATTGCATGACACTTGTAACCGCTGTGCTACACACGCCGATGTTCTCTGTGCTCTCGGAAATTTCAAAATGGCCTAGGAATTATTAAAGCTATTATGATAGCGGCTAATTTCCTGAAGAAACTATGTTCATCTAAAAACTGGGAATGGATTCTCGAAAGCTTGAAT